CAATCACAGCGCTAGCTTGCTCGGTCAAGAAAGCAGTTTTCTTGACATGGTGTTTCCTTTTGACAGTGTATAATCCTTAAGGACTTTGACATAAATAGGAACATGTGAAATCACATGCAAGAGAGGTAAATTAATTTTTACTTGCTTTAGGTGTTCTAAGATCTCACTATGTTGACCAGCAGATTTTGAGGTAGACTTAAGAGCGGTGGAAAATGTACTCTTACTGGATTTTTCACTACCTCCTCATTAGGGCTACTCTCTTCATGCTCACTAGGCTCTTTTTCAGTTTCCCTAGGTTTGGAGGTTGGTTCTATGACTTTCCCTGATCTAGTGATTATAGCATTCACTTTCCTGATATTATTTTCATTTGAATCCGAGGTTTGTGCCATGTGTTGCCCTTTAGGATTTGGTTGAGCGTGAGTTGAGAATTTTACTCGTTCCACTACAGCTAAGGCATTAGTTAATTTGGACATATGATTTTTGATTTCGTTATTTTCCTCAACAATTTGGGTAATCATAGTCTCAAATTTTTGATTAGTTTTACTTTGTGCCTCAATGAATGCATGTAGAGTGTCTTCTAAGGAGTTCCTAGAAGTTTTAAAAACTCTAGGTGGTTGGCTAGGTTGCTGGTTTTCAGATTTTCAGCTGAAGTTGGGATGATTCCGCCACCCCTGATTATAGGTATCAGAAAAGGGAACATAAGGTTTGTTATATGTGCCTAAGGCATTGCAATGTTCCTCATAAACCCCCCTCATCTCAGCAAGAGCAAAATACTCATGCGCTGGATGATCAATTCCACCATACACACAACATGGTCCAGAGGATTCAACACGGGCAACGGTGGGTGTATGCTTTGAGTTTTTAGTGCCTAGGGTCCACTTTAGCCCTAAGACTATCTTCTTCTCTAAGATGATAAATGCCTACACTAGAAAGATTTTCTACCGGTCGTGACCTATTAGTTTATCAGTGGTGCTACGGCAAGTCTAGGTGTGATCTTTTTCAGCTAGGTCATCTAAGTACTCTATGGCCTCATCAGGATCTTTTTGCAAGAACTCACCATTACACAGAACTCACCATTACACATCATCTCAATAAATTGACGCTCTCTAAGTGTTAATCCCTCATAAAAATACCTCACTATACGCCAACTCTCATAACCATGATGGGGACAAAGAGCTTGCAATTCTTTGTATCTCTCCTATGCTTCGTATTAGGTTTCCCTGTCTTTTTGAGTGAATGAAGAAATTTGCTTCTTCAAATCACTAGTTTTATGATGGGAAAAATATTTGCTGAAGAAAGTTTTAGTCATTTCACCCCATGTTCTAATCGAACGTGGCATCAGCGAATACATCCAGCTTATTGCTCTATCTTTAAGTGAGAATGGGAAAATTTTAAATTTGAGTGCATCCGCTGTACCATGTTGATTGTGTAAGGTTGCAATCATCTCCTCAAATTCCCTAATATCCACGTATGGATTTTCATTTTCAAGTCCATAAAAAGTGGGAAGAAGTTAAATCACTACCGGTTTAAGGTCCATACGTGGCATATTAGGTGGAAAAATAATACACGATGGTATGGATGTGCGTGTGGGATAAAAATAATCCTGTAAAGTCCTAAAAGGTGTATCATGCTCACTATCAGATATGGTGTTGTGCTATGAAGTATTAGTTTTAACAGATGCGGAATCAAAAGCGGGGTAAAAAAGAGATTCGAACTCTATATCAGGTCTGTCGGTAGATCTTCCTCGCTCTCCTTGATACCTGCTCATGAAACACAAGTAAAAAGAAAATAAAGTGAAAATAAAGAATAACAAAGAAAATAATAAACTAAAATAAAGGGTTAGGAAAGGAACGAAGTCACCATTTCACATTTGAATCCCTTAATTTCTTGTACCGTCTCCCCGGCAACTGCGCAAAAAGTTGATTATGCCCAAAGAATAATGCGGTAGTTGTAGTGCAGATTTGGGGTGTCGTACCCATAGGGAGATTGAAAAATTATCAAAAATTTCGAAAATGGATGAATTATCCTCTTCAATGTGTAGTAAAATTCAATGTTTGAAATATGAAATTAGAATCAATAATTTGAGGTAGTGACACGTCAAATTTCTCTCAATTGGATTGAATCGATCACATCAATTATTCATTTTATAACTCAATTACAGAATTTTCATCCAAACTCTCTAATCAGAGGATTTATCGTGAAAACCAATTTAATTCACAAATGTAATCCTAGAATCTAGACTTATGATATATTCGCACAATTTCATTGGAACAAGATCAAAGATCGACCATATACATCAAGTATAAAATAGTAATCAATCCTCCAATAAAGCAATATTGAGATTAAAATTCAACAATTATTTCAATAATTCAATAGAAAGAGTACGACCAGATCTATAAAGGACTTGATAAAAGTTAAACTAATCTCAACAATAAGTAATTGAAATTGAAACTCAACAAATAGTTTAATTTAACAATAAAAAAAGTATGACTGAATCCATGAAAAATCTTGTAAATGTTAAACTGATTTCAATATAAATTAATGAAAAGAAAAGTCTAAATACTAGAATTGTTCAACAATGAATAGAGCAATTACATGAATAAATTGATGCAAAATCTCGGAATCCAACGAGTTCCTTACTTACTTCACCTTGATTTTTAGTTCCTCATGAGTTTTTTGAGCAAAAAGAGATGAAAGAATGGTGAATAACGAGGAATTAGGTGTTCTGGGAAGTTTTGGGGACTTTTAGGGTTGAGAAATCGTGTCACAATAAATTACCATAAGTGTTTAAGTCGTAGAAGGAAACTTGAAAATTCAGGCTTTCTTTATAACTATGTGACCGCATAGTTATAGGTGTTGCAGTCGCATGGAAAGTTGGAATTGGCTACTGAAAATCTATGAAAGGTACTATGCGACCTCATAGAAATAACCCTATGCGACCGCATAGCTTTAGAAGTTTTCCACCAGACAGTCTTCCGTAGTTTCGTCATTACTTTCTCTGTCGATATCCGATTAAGACAATTCAAGATCCGTTGGAAAACTAACTTAAAGAGTTACAACCTTTCTTCAGATACCATCTTCAAATTCGATCGTTTTCCATGTCAAAAACTGGTCTCAATATGAAACTGAAAATCGGTGCAAAACTTTTCAGTTTGAAAGTTGATATGTGATAATGATTTGGCTATATTTCATCTCTTTGACTCATTTCTTTATCTAATTGACCTCTAACATCCTCCAATTTTCATCACAAGGTTAGAAACAAATTTAGATTACTTGCACTTTAGTGTCTGAACTTTCACTTTCCTCCATTATGGTCTTTTTTCACTTGTTGCTCTTTATTTCCGATACATTCATCACTTTGTCCTGCAAAACGTAAATTATATAGAATTAATCTATATTCTAACATATTAATCAACAATTTTCCATATTTTGATAGTACGATAAGTGTGTAAAAATACACTTATCAGGGGTATAACCCCGAACTCCCTAGAAACTTTTATAATTACATGTTCCTTATACTTGGTCAGTCCCTAGGGTAAGTTAAAGTTGTCTCGACCTCAGTGTACAAGCTGATAGGTACGGCCATAGGGGTAATGGACGCACCTTTGCCCTCGGGGCTCCTAGTGGATGAGCTCCTAGATGATTGACTACTACTATCACTCGACTCCTCACTACTACTACTCGACATTATGCTACTTGAAATAAACAACTTAAAGGCTCGAACACTTACCTCTTAAGGTGGTTGCTCAGAAAACCTGCTAAGCCACGAACTCGAATTGCTTTTACTAAGAGTTGAAAGTGAAAAAGTGAAAATGAAGGGTGAAAAAAGGGCATTTATAGGGGTCATAGGAAGGTCAAAGGCCGTGCTATCCGGACCCTTGATTTCATGCTACGTGGCGATCATCCAAGATTACATGATCTCTGCCCTACATGTGTCCAACACATGGAAAATGTTCAACTGTTACCTACGATTAGCCATTAAGTTCGATCTCAGGCCGTTGCACCTCCTTACATCCCACCTCGCAACTCGAGCATATAACTTTTAGTTGCGACTTGGATGCATGGGGCCTATGTTGTGTACAAACATTGATTTAGCTCGAGCTCGACCTTCCTTGCCCGAACTCAACCAGTCTTAGTTATGCAAATTCCAGCTCGGGCTACTCATCGAGGTCAACCTATATATTGAGATCGAGCTTCAAGAACAAAGGAACAATTCCCTTGTCCTTATCTCACACTATCTAGGGATACCAATCCTATGTTGATTATGACTCTTTATGACTTTTACCCTCAACCAAACTCCTTACCTACCACAGTTTGGTTTAAACGCTAACATGACACTTTGAGTATAATACAAACACCTTACATGATAAGGATAATGACTACATGTGGTTGAATCCTTTCAGGACTCCATCATCAACATCTATAAATATAAGATCAAGATTCATTATTCATGTATGCTTTTTTACACATTTTCAGCGTACGTTTTTCGCATAAATTCTCTCTCTGACTTAAGCATTGGAGGGGCGACGATGACACACTTCGACGCCCTTGTTTCAAGTATTGAATATCTGTTTGCACAAGATTCAAGTATTCAGTTCGAGATCAAGCAGGTACAGATTTTTTATAACATCAACATTATTTAAAAAATCACTATTTCAAAACAAAATTTTCTCCTTAATCACATTTTGATGGAGCACGGGACTAAATTGAGAGAAATTAAAGTTTAATTACCCAATTAAAAGTTCAAAGTTCAAAAACATGAAATCTACCCATATGGTAAGGAGGTTCAATCTAAACCATCAAAATTTAAGGGCCGAAAACCTTAATTCTAGTTGAGTCCCCCCTTACCCACCCAACACTTTCAATCCACCGTCCACAACAGTCAATCCACGTACCCCACCACCATCTCCTCGTAAACTCCGTCTTGTGAAATCCTTCCCACACCCCATATATGATATATGCACCATTCTCCATGATGATATTTTGCACCACCACCACCAATGAACGGACCCACCCCTCGCCACCGCTCTGCTCCTGAAAAAAAGCCAAAACCACCGTCCATTAACGGCAATTCTCCTAACAGCGTCGTCACAAAACACAAAGATTATTCAGATATGAAGAAGTCATCATCTTCCTCTGCTAAAAACTTTTGTTCTTGCCTTGTTAATGCACATTTCTTGAAATGGAGGGCCAATGATATATGGGGTGTGGTTCGGCACCACCCCGTACCCTGCGTCTTCGCCGCCTCCTTGCTGTTTTTCATGGCGGTTGAGTACACTCTCCGCATGGTCCCGCCCACCTCGCCGCCGTTTGATCTCGGGTTTATCGCCACCACAAATCTCCACCGGTTACTCGAATCTCGACCCACTCTCAACACGATTCTTGCTGGACTCAATACGGTATATGTGTAAACATACTCTTCTTAGTTTTTGTTTGGTAAAACGTTTTGTAGATTATAAGTTGTGAATGATAACTGTTGATCTTACGTGATTTGTTGTTAAAAAATGATTACGATATTTGATCAGCTTATAAACTTAGAAAAATATTTAACGAACTTACTCTAATAACATTAGACACGACCCGAACCCGATAAAATACCCACGAGGCCACGACAACGTAACATGCAATGTAAATTTAACTTCTTGTTTTTGGATCTAACTTTGATTTTGACATGATTTTCTTCTACTTCTTCGGTGAGTAATTAATGCCATTTATTAAAAGTCAAAGCATGTTAGATTTTGATATGGGCATGATCACAAGCATTTAAGTTTTCATTTTTCATATGTACATTTTTATTTTGTAAAAAATGATTTATTTTTCGAGATGGTTCTTTTTGGGGAATTATATTTATTTAATTTGTTCGAGCTTTGTGGACCAAGTAGGTTTTCGTAGGAATGCAAACGACGTACATACTATGGACGTGGCTAATGGAGGGTCGACCGAGGGCGACGATCTCAGCTTTGTTCATGTTCACATGTAGGGGAATACTTGGATATGTCACTCAGCTACCATTGCCCGAGGTTAAATTTGTCTCTTATTATATAAGATCTTTATATTCGAATTCGATAAATTTAAAATATCAATTACTTTATTGGAAACTAGTTCTAGATTGGTGTGTCTGAAGCCGGAAAGGACTAAAATTATAAATAATGTTAATTGTACATAATTATTTACAAATTGGTGGACAGATAAAGAGAAAAAAAAAACAGCTTGAAAAAGGGCAAAAAAAGACAAGGAAATCAGTTAAATACCAAAATAATGTCATGTCATTCATCTGTACACTAATCTGTAAATAATTATGTACAAATAGTATTACTCTAAAAATATTGAATTTTGTTACTTGAACATAAAAAAAAATGTAAATAATGAATTACATAATATGACGTTTTTGGGAAAATATTAGATAAAAAAGTTAATTGTGTTTTAAAAAGACAAATGATAGACTGTCTCGTAGCATTATATAATCCATTATATAAATTTTAATGTACATGTGACAAGATATAAAAAATATTTAACGTGCAAGTGTAGGGTAATTAGTAAAATGTATAAGCAAGGCTCGAGATATGAATTTCGTCCCATGAGAAATCGGCTGAATTAGCAAATTGGCAACCAAAATGCAAAATGAGACACGTCACATCCATTTTAAGTGCACATTCCATTTTCGCTCATTGTAAGTAGGGTTATGAGACTCCACGGGAGAATCGTACTCTCTGATCCATATGGATGGATGATTTAAAGTAAATTTCCATAAATTTGCTTTAGAAAAATTGACCACAAGAAATTTTACTTTAACGACGAAAATATTTGTCATGTAAAGTCTCGCAAATACCTTTTGATGAAACAAGAAAAAATTGATTTAATACAATAAAAAAAATTAAGTGAAATTTCTTGTACTACGTACCCTGTTTTAGCAGTGGTAACACCTATCAGATTTCCTGAAAAATCCAACATTTTTAGGACAAATGGGTTGTTCATAATTAATGCTGATAGAATATTTTTATAGACACTGATGCACCTTCCCATGCTTAGATAACTGTTGACTAATTATATTATAGTTTTTTTATAGAATACGTCACATTAAGTAGGTTTGAAGAAACAAAAAGAAATGAGAAATTAGACTAGAAATGAAATGTGGTAAAAGCTAAAACGAAATTTATTGTTTTGCTTGTTCCTTCACAGGGATTCTTGGGTTCGGGAGCAGATTTTCCGGTTGGAAATGTTTCATTTTTCTTGTTTTATTCGGGACATGTGGCTGCATCGATTATTGCATCTTTGGATATGAAACGAATGAAAAGATGGGAATTGTCTTATACATTTGACATTCTAAATGTTTTACAAGTGATAAGATTGTTGAGTACTCGGGGTCACTACACGATCGACCTGGCTGTTGGCATTGGTGCTGGAATACTATTTGATTCTCTGGCCGGAAAGTACGAAGATAGCAAGAAAAGAGAAGCGTCGTTAGTCTCTAGTGCCACCAACTATGGTTCTTACTACAACTCTCAGAAAGAACGAAATGGAGAGTTGGTGGGTTAGGAAAGAACCAGAAATTTGGTCTTTATCTATTGAAGATATTAGTGTTGCTTGAAAAAATTAAAAGTTGAGGTCAATTTCTTGTATTAATGATGCAAAGTTGTTTGGGTTACTTGGTTTTTTCTTCCTACCAAACTTTTGAAACGATTATGATTCTGCTTTAATTCACAGTTTGGATTATGATTTTGCATAACTTCACAGGTTGGACAAGAGGGCCTACGTTGGACATTCTTTGGAAAAATGTTTGAGAAATTAAGTAAGAAATATATCATTCAATAATGGGTTGCCATTTTGGTCGACTTGAATATAATAAATTTGTCACGTCTAGTATAAATTGAACGGTTTCTCATCTTTAAGGCTATTGACATCCCATATATGTTGGACTAAATGGTTATTAGTTATATATGAGAATTGAAATAAGTTTCCAATAGGTGCAATTCTTCGTAAATGGTGCATACGAAGAGTCGTGTTGTTTTGTTTAGGTGTGACTATTTACAGACATGATGCAAAGTCATGACCTTTAGATATGGTGCAATCTACATCATTTAATGTAAAAATGTGTGATCTATGTCTAAAGATGCAACTATTCAACAACCACTTGAAATCTAAAATAGGGATATCTAGTTCTATATTTCCTACACCAAATCAATTCAAGTTATAATTGATTTCTAATTCTCCTCAAAAATTCTGCTCTTTTTATTTTGTTGAAATAAGATTCTGTACAAAATATTTTTAGAAGTAAAATTCCATTAGACTATTTTAATTCATGTCTATTTCATTAAAAAAGAATACTGTAAGCACTTTGGTTCGACTAACAAGATTGGTATAGTGCATTACTTACTTTGGAAGAAGTATTGTATCTTGAGATACAATGTCCAATTATCCAATTGGCATTAGTGCAGGGGGTTGAATCTGTCTTAAGAAAATTTGCTACGACACTTCTCGCTTTATCTCCATTTTATTTTATTTTTTTTGGTTACTAGTCATTAATTTGATAACAATATTAAGACATGTCTCTTTTTCTTCTTATTTCAGTCCAAATCACCTAACAAATCTTCAATTAAGTCAGCAAAAATGACATAGTCATTTTTTGACATCAATAGTTTGGCTCTAGAAGGAGTGCCTTATAACTAACAACCACATATCTCTTACAAAAAATCCTCAAAAAACCCCATATCCAACTCGAAAAATCACCATAAGCAACAGTTCTACCTCCAGAAATCCAGCTTCAACTAACCCTCTTCACACAAGTATTCATTAAGAATTCCAAAAGAAAAATGATTCTGCTGAAAATGTTGACCCTCAGCTCGCTGCAATAAAAGAAGCAATTGAACGACTAACATTGTTAGCAGAATGGAGAGAAACCATGTCCACAACTCTCCCCTAGCTGATACTGAGGTGGAATCACCAGCTTGAGAACAATTGGTCGACCTCCAACTAGAAGAAGTTTTCACTTCTCAGGTGAAGAGTCATCCAAGAGTAGGACGAATGAGATAAGAAACAGTCCATTTGATTTTAACAAGTCTCCACATTGATACGAATTTCAATGCAATAAAACTCCACCAAATTTGCTCGAATTATTAATACGAGCAATCCTATCACAATCAACTCCATCTGATTCAACGGTTATCAAACCATAAACAACTAAATCAGCCTTGTCGAACCTCTCCTAAGGTCTAATAGCTCTTTTCTTCAATTTAGTGATAGTTGCATCAAACTCAATCCTTATGTTGCTTTTCCTTCGGCGTCTACACCAAAATTTACCATAGCAAAAATCATGTGTTGCGATTCAAAAACGGAGTATCAAACTTCATACTAGTCATCCCGAAATAATCAAACATCATTCTGAGTTTATCAAATCTCTCTCTAATATGAAACCAAAATATCTCTCCCAAGAACCTGTCGAACCTTGGGTCTAATACTACTTGTTAGAAATTAAACCAATTGTTATGAATATTAAAGACGAAATATAGACAATATAAAAATAACAGTCATAAGAACATAAGATTTACGTGGAAACCCAAGATGAGAAAAAAACCACGGATAGAGACGAAGAATTAACTAACAATCAATAATGTAGGATTACAAAAAATCCCTATGGACTAAACTAATAAGTTGGACGATTGGTCAATCTCAATATGTGTTGTACACCACATATTTATAATAAACAAACCCCTAACACACTAGGAGAATATAATATAATGAAAAGTCTAATATAAAGTGAACTCATATTATAATAGGTAAAACTAATAATAAAGTATTTAAGTTGAAATAGGAGAGAAAAACAGCCAAAGACGAGAAACATTATCCTTGTCGTCTTTTACTTCTTCAGTACTTCTCGAATACAAACAACCAATTCCAAATATGCCTCCAACATAGAATTCAGGTCATACCGAAATTCTAACAGGAAAGATAGAAACAAAACCCAACAAGCTAAAGGAAGAAACGTAGAAGTTCAATCTAGGATTATTATCACCAGGTGATGCCCAAAATTTGGCATTAACCTTACAACTAATGCTCAGAGAACACATTCAAGGACAACAAAAAGGCGAAAAATACTACCTCAAAACCAAACCAAAACAAAATAAGCCCTATGAGGAATTATGGAGTGCAGGTTCTCAATTGAAGGTTGTTCGCGTGAAACCCGCAAGCGTACGAGATCGTTGTACAAGTAATAAATGTGATGAGTGATTTATCGTCCCACAGGGAATACGGCTTAATTCTAGTGCAATCGATATATCTAAATTCGAAACAATAACAAGATAAGGTGGGTCTTATTTAACTATGTTCTAAAATTACGAAAACAATAAAATTATGATTTTTATTTTTTTAAAATTAAATATGAAAGAGAGTATTGGATTTCCGATTCCACTAAGTGACTCTAGCATTCAATTCTCAACTTGTGATAATTATTTCAATCCTTGCATTGGTGACGACCGATAATTCCACTTCTATTTATTATTCTTTTCCAAGATATAATAAACCTACATTGATCACGACACGATCCTATTCCTAGTCTGCATTCATATGATGAATATGCATTAAAATATAGAATTATCATATAAGATCGCACACTTCACAAATATTATTCCTAATATTTATTCTTCATGTGTTACACATACAGTGTTCTACTTATCGTGAGTTTTCCAACACTA